TCACTACTGAACAATTCTGGGGTATGTTAAGGAAGTAACAGGTTATAAATCAGGAAAGACGGTGATTCCCTGAGAGACAAGCAGTCTTAGTTTCACCCCACACACAGTTTCCTTTCTGAGGCTGGAGCAATCTCCAGGAAGCTGCTGATAAGATTTAAATCATGCATATCCCCTGTCCACCTGGGGCAAGGGGCAGCCGACTGGACAAGCAGCTGATAGAATCCAAAGGCTCGGGAACCCTGGAGAAAAGTTACTGAGGGATTAAGGGCTCAGAAGAGTCACCACAAATACCAGAGATTGGTGTGCAGTGCGCATGCCTTCCTGGACCAGTTGCTCAGAAAATACCTGAGTGGTCCCTAGGTTTCCACCTCTGCTAGATCTGTGAGCTCTGGGCAAAGCAGAAGGTGAGGGCCAAGGCGTTAATCATAGACACCTGACTTGGAAATGAGGGGTGTCCCAACTCAGAGTCAAGCTTCAAAGACCCAGAGTATAATTTTGCTCATCTCTCACTCCATTTCTTTTTTTCAGACTTAAAAGAAGAAATCGGTCAGGTCACTGACTGACTGCTGAGAGGCAGCACTCTAGTGGCTCCACAGTAGAAGGAATACAGCCTTTACAAAAAGAGTTCGGATGAGCTACTAAGCAAACCAACACCCGAAGCCATCAAGAGCCAACAAAAGCAAACCCCGGAAAGGAGGAGCATCTGATTTCCAGAGTTATCACGTTATACAATTCAAAATGTGAATAAGGAGGACTGAAGAAGAGTCAATACATTTGAGTTATGGTGTTGGAGGAGAATATTAAAAGTACCATGGACTGCTAGAAGAACAAACCAGAAAGTTCCCTGGAAGCCAGGATGGGCAGATTTCATGTCTCATACTTCAGACATGTTATCAGGAGGGAGCAGTCCCTGGTGAAGGACATCAAGTTTGGTAAAGTTGTTGTTGTTGTTAGCTGCCGTCGGGTCGATCCCAACCCATAGTGACCCTGTATAGGATTTCTGAGGAGTGGCTGGTGAGCTTGAACCACCGACCTTGCAGTTCAAATGACTTTGCAGCGCCACACCAGGACTCCAAGCTTGGTAAAGTACAGGGTCGTTAAAGAAGAGGAAGACACCCCCCCCTCCCCCAATGAGATGGATTAGCACAGTGTCAGCAGCAATGGGCTCAAATGTAGCAATGACTGTAAGGTTGGCGCTGCACCAGGCAGTGTGTCCATTGTTGAGCATATGGTCACTATGAGTTGGTACCAACTCGATGGCACCTAATAACAACAACTATTTAAAATGCCCCATTTCCAATGAAGATTTCCAAGGCATGCAAGGAATCAGGAACAGATGGCACATTCACATTAAAAAAAGAAATAAGTCTAAGCAAACTGACACTAGTTTTCAAGAAAAAGTTACAAAGTATACAAAGAAATAATAAATAAATTTACACAAACTGACTCAGATTTTGGCCAGATATGGAAGTATGAAATATGGTCAGACAACCTCCCAAGACTAACGCCTGTAAATATGACCAGAAAGTGAAGAGAAAGCTTGGCCAAAGGACTAAAGGAAACCAAGGATACGTTCAATGACAATTATGAATTGAACTCATCAATAAAGCATTATAAATTATAGAAAGTAACCACAAAGACTTTCTGGAGATTAAGAGTAGACTAATTGAAGTGAAGAATAAACTTGATGTCCAACAGCAGAGATGAACAGGCAGAAGAAAACTCTTTCGAGCACAGACTGCAATAAACCCAGTCTCCATCCCATCAACATCATCTCAGTGAAACCCTTCCCAACTCTCCAGGGGAGACTACCATTTTGGCAATCAGAAGTTACAAATTCAGTGCTCCTCCCGACATAAACTCTACTCCTTTACCTATAAAGCAGGGGTGGGTACCTTTATTTCTGCCAAAATTCATATCATTCATGGGATATACAGAATTATCAACTTAAAAACTAGTCTGCTATATGTGGTCAAACATTGAATTAACTCACCCTTAATGTGATGGTTGTAGAGTCCTGGCGTGGCGCTGTGGGTTAATGTGCCAGACTGCAAAGCCATTTGAACTGCAAGGTCTGCAGTTCAAGCTCACCAGCTGCTCCTCAGAAACCCTATACAGGGTCACTATGGATCGGAATCGACTCGACGGCACTTAACAACAACAACAACGTGATGGTTGTGGCACTGTGGGTTAATGCACTGAACTGCAGAGTCGGTATGACTTCAAGCTCACCAGGTACTCCTCAGAAACGCTATGCAAGGTCTCTATGGGTCAGAACTGACTCCATGGAACTTTATAACAATAACAATAGCAATGTGATGGCTGGAACTATAGTCGCTTTGGCAGGGCCAGACCAAATGATTTCGTGGGCCAGATGTTCCCCACCCCTGCTCTAAAGCTAGGATATGGTGCAAGCTAGTCCTCCTTTGTATAGCGTAGCAATAGATAATCTTTAAAGGGGTTTAGCATTATAGCCAAGTTTATCAGAACTAAATTTTATTAACACGTACGTGAAGTGAATAAAAAGGCAAGCCACAGACCTGGACAGAGTATGCAAAAACAGATGTCTGTTAAAGGGTTTGTACCACAAATATACGCACTCTTAAAAACTTCATAATAACTCCCTTCCAAGACTAAGACTCAATGGGAATACAAGCTCTGACTGATGACCACATTCATCACGGACATGGGGAAG